TATATCATTGTAAATCCATGTGTGTTCTTCAAATTATATATCAGTCGTTAAAACAGAAAATTATGACAAGGCATATAGACTACTGAACACTATTTTCGAAAGAAATTTACTTTACTGATAGTAAAGCTGACGAAGGCCAGAATACTGGGCAAAAATTTCTTTCGAAAATAAAGTATATATATATATATATATTATATATATATATATTGTATCGGGGTTAATAGCAATACTGTAATATTGTATTATACGTACAATTGTACGTATAATACAATGGCAATCAATAAACAACATGGCTACTGTAGCTCATAAAGTCAGAGTGAGACGCACAGCATAGTGGACAAAATTTACTTACACAAAAATGAAAGTGACTAAATTGAGAGTATCTTGTTATAGTGCGCATTATGTTTACAATGCACAATAAGTTATTTTACGATAGTATAATACATACTCCCAGTATCGAAGTGCATTTCGATAATTGTATTATATTATCTAATCTGAGATTTATCAGTGGACCTTTCGGTAAGTTATTGTACAGTATATACTTTTGTAATTGCAGTACTATCAACTGTTTAGGCAGGGATGTATGTATTTAAATTTAACACGCAATAAATAATTCAATCTCTTTTGATTAAGAACCCAACACTTTCCTTATTTTCGTCTTGCATGTATTCTACCAAAATAATAAAAAAAAACACCCCTTAAAGATGGAAATTACAATTTAAAATGGCCATTTAGTAAAACACACAAGTTATTCACTTTTCAATCTGGTTTTTCGTTGTAAGCTAATAATTTATTTAATCCTTTTAAATGAGCTATTCAAAATTTTATTTCAAATTTTAAAGTATTTTGCTGCATACAGATAGAAAGAACAATTATAATTCAATTATATTTTTTTTAAATTTGCAAAATGGCTTTAAATACATTTGTTAACTTTTCTCAATACGTTTTCAAAGCGATTTTGTTATTAAGTGATCTCTTTCTCACTATTAACCCAATATAATAATACACAACTACATGCATCAACATAGTTTTACTTCCATCACTTTAAAAAAATAAAATAAAAAGCAAGGTAATAATGAACGAAGACCTGAAAATCAAGCAACACAATTCGATAAATGTGAATGACATACAATATTTGAAATATATGAATAGGAACAAAATGATAAAGATTGGATTACACTACAAAGCTACAAAAGTGAAATTAATTGCCCATATAAACTTTCCCACTGGGGCTTTGTGGCTATTTCAATCAAGCTACTACAGAACAGCACTAATCTTTGAAGCACTCTGTAAACACATTTTAAAGACACATAAAATCAACTTAACGATCACTAGACTTAAAAAGGGGTTTTGCACGCAAGATCTGGTCTTTATTCTCTCACTAAATGTTTATGGCAAATCTACTAACACCTGTGTTTTATATATTTACAATTTGCCTATGCAGCAACTCCG